CATCCATCCATCCATCCATCCATCCATCCATCCATCCATCAACCACCCACCCACCCGTCCGTCCGTCCATGTATCGAATTAAGAAAGAGAGAAAGGAATGGAAAGCTTGCAATTCTACATACTCAGGATCATTTTCACAATGAACATTCAAACCAAGTGCGGTTGCGTCTGCTTCCAGTTTTTTGATTGACTTTGTACCACACTTTTCACTGGTGAACAAACAAGTGAACGAAATAAAGGATTGACTTAGGATGTATGCATTACGAAGGGGTTGGGTATTAGGGTGGGTATGTAGTCTAAGTCTAAGATATGAGGGAAAACTCCTTTCCCCCTCCACATCAAACTGATTTTATTAATGCCCTAAAAGGACGTCTGGTCTAATCTTAGTCGGGACCAGGGCTAACTCACAGACCGAATCGAAATTTAACTCGCTTGATTTTGCGGAAGGAGGAAAACCAGAGTAAATTAAAAACCCTCGAATCAAGGGATCGGAGAGAACCAACAAACTCTGCTTATTTTATGTAGAGTCGAATTAGTGCATTAGAACTACGACATCCTTGATTCCATTTACAAAGAGAGTCAGTCCATCGTCTCTTAATACAGGTCTTTTCACTGTACTACCTACATTGGTTTCTTGCCAATCGTATGAAGAACAATGACAAACAGCTTGGTGATGTCGGCTACTTTGAGATTCGGTAGCTCGTACTTCCCAAAGATACTAGAAAAATTAAAGGAAACTTTGATGAGACATTTTCAAGACAAGTAACTGCATGCAGTATTGGGACAAAGCCTCTTCAAACTCTACCAACACGAACATATAGCAGTTTTCTTACGACTGTGAAAAGCTCAGTGCCGTATGCGTGCCTCACAGTGACCGTGATGTTTTCTAGGATCTTGATTGGCCGATATTTTTCCTCGCGCGATGTAATAAATAAAATAAAATGAAATAAATGGGATTTAACAGTGGCATTTCTACAAGGTAGCTATTTATCCACTGTAATTCCAATGGGAATTTATTTTTACGGAGGGAGGAAAACCGGACAACCCGGAAAACCCTCGAAGCACAGGAGAGAACCAACAAACAACTCTACTCACATACGACACCGAGGTCAGCGGGACTCGAACCCGGGTCGCATTGGTGAGAGGCGAGCGCTCTCACCGCTTTCCGTGATTGGTCTGACGCATGCCTTGCCGTGTCACGACCGGGGTTTAACGATATATTCAAACAAACCATTCCTTTCACCTTTTATTACTGTAGGCAGGTTGTGATATGCGAGTACCATTAACCATCACACGTGCTTGTCCCCTTACTCGCTCTGCAAACTGATGGAAGAAGAAATGTCACGATTGCTGGATTTCACATGAGCAATAAGTATAAATAAAAGAAAAGAGATGGTAGTTTCATTAAAACTTGGAAACAGGGCTGCGCAACTTTGATGCTCAACTTGTTGGTTATCTTGAAGATGTATATTCGTGATGTCATTCTTTCTCGTAGTTGCGTGTGTAACGTAGCGTGCTATCGTTGCACCCTGCGTTCAACTATTCCACGCTAAAAACCCTACGATTTTATCGATACAGCTGTAATCTGAAACAACCTCTGGACTGATTTAAGTCAGGGCAAGGGTAACTCACAGCGGAATCGCTGCAACAACCTCTGGGCTGATTTTAGATAGGGCACGGCTACACAGATTGAACGCTGCAACAACCTCTTGGCTGGTGTAAGTCAGGGCATGGCCGACTCACAGATCGAACGCTGCAACAACCTCTTTGCTGGTGTAAGTCAGGGCACGGCCAACTCGCAGATTGAATTGGATTTCATTAGCGGAGGGAGAAAGAACTGAGAACCCGGAGAAACACCCTTGAATCAAGGGCCAAAGACCTTACAAACTCTACTCACATGTCGAGTGCAGAAATTGAACCTGTGAGATCCCAGGGGTGGGAGGCGAGTCAGGGGCGGATCCAGGATCTTGTTCAGGGAGGGGTGCTGCGCACAAAGTTAACCCAGGGAGGGGTGCACCCCTTAGAATCAAAGGGAAAAACAGTATTGGTTATCTTTGAAGTAGGGGCACAAAGTGGAATCAGGGAGGGGTGTGCACCCCCTGCACCCTTCCCCTGAATCCGCCCCTGCGAGTGCACTAGCGATACGCCACCCTTGGATTTCTTTGTTCTTTTTGTTAATAAGAGCAACAACAGATAGCTTACTGTTATAGAAGCTTGGATCCAGAAGAATTTATTGTATTTGAAACAACTTGGACAGGATTTGTAATCTATACCATCAGTAGTGTTGGGAGGCAGCGAAGGGTTACCACACCAACGAAGGTCATTCATCATCGAACTGAAAGAACAACTTCCCTCTTTAGGTATTTTGAATTCCATTCAGTATTATATGGAAGGGTGGGTAGTATTATATGGATGGATGGGTGGGTAGTATCATATGGATGGATGGGTGGGTGGGTAGTATTATATGGATGGATGGGTAGTATCATATGGATGGATGGGT